AGGAAAGGTTTGGAGAGAGAAGCTCCTGCCCATGCACCCCACGGGCTCCCAGCTCCATGTCGACCAGGGGATGCTGAGGGTGACTGAGACCCCGCAGGGTGGGAATCGGTGGCCCCTCTAAGCCACGGTGTCTCAAGGAGCCTGCCAGGGTGCTGCGGCCGTGGCTTTCTGACCACAACCCAGAGGTTTTGCTATGGTCATGTATTTGGTTCCTTGTGTCCTACAGCAAGAGTTTTCCAAGGGTTTTCAGAGGCATTCATAATCCTTCCATATTTAAGGACCCGCTGTTCAAATGCAGCCCATCTTTCAGCAGTCATCCCCTGCTACAAGGACCGATTCACTTCAGCAGAAGCCGCTGGTGCCCTGGCCTTGGGCCCAGCACCCAAGTGGGGAATTTCAGCTTCATGCCCATCTAAACTGGTGGGCTGTGCCGCCCTGCCTTCTCCGTGTAACCCTGGGTGAGGATGTGGCCCAGGGACAGAGGAGAGAGAAGTGCCTCCATCCAGATAGAGCGAAGCAGAAGAGCAGGAGAGGTCTGGGCAGAAAGGAGGGGGCTCTGGAGCAGAGACGGAGCACAGGGCTCTATGACCCTGGCAGTTATTTTGCTCAGGGGTTGTCTTCTCTGCGTGGCGTGCTGGGTACAGGAGGTCTGCTGTGACTCATCCACACACTACTGCTTCATTGCTCTGGCAGTATATTTAGAAACTCTTGTGTAGAGCAATTTTTGAAGATGGTTTAATTCAGAAATACTTTTGCTGTTGTCAGATTTTTTTCTCTGCTCCCCTTCCCCCTCCTCTTCCCCTCTGCTCTCGCTCCTTTTTCTTTTTTTTTACTTCCTATGAATGAAAAAACCTTCAGAATATCTATTCAGACACAAACCCAACCTTGTGTGCAGCCAGGGAAGGACAGGTAAAGCCAAAGATCCTGCCAGCTCTGCACCACCAGTGACAATGTCATGACCAGCACCTGGGTCAATCCACTGGGAGGCAACTGGAGGACCTCATGGAGCAGACCAGGTCCAGCTGGGGGGATGGTGCTATGGCTTAACCCCAGGAGGGAGCATATTTCTTTGCTCTAGCCACTGATCATGGTGCCTGCTCATGGAATAATTGAGCCCTGAGCTCTGGTTTGGTCTCCTCCACAATCCGGTCCCCTCTGAGCACGCATCCCAGTGGGAACCGCACGCATATTTGTCACCACTGTTAATACTTGATGCTGTCACTGTTCACAGGAGCTACAAGGTCCGTTTCAACAGCGTCTCCTCTTACTCGGATGCACGGAAATCCTCAAGTGATGGCCCTGACTCCAGGGACAACTTTGAGAGCACGGGGCCCCTGGCTAATGTCAGGTAAATAGGATGGGGTGGGAAGCAGCGATTTCTTGCTGTAGAAGGGTCAGAGCAAGAGCTGGCGCTGCACAGAGCCCCTTCTCCTACCACAGCTCTTACCTAAACCACATATTTTTGCAACGTGCAGATCCCTCTGTGCTCCCTCACACTGGCGTTGGCCATGGTGGTGTGGGAGGGGGACATGTGGATGTCCCTCCCTGCTCGGTAGCCACAGTTGTGCCACATGTCTGCAGGTTCTCTGTGTTTGGGCTGGGGTCACGTGCCTACCCTCACTTCTGCGCCTTTGCTCGGGCGGTGGACACCCTCCTGGAGGAGCTGGGTGGAGAGAGGATCCTCCGCATGGGAGAAGGGGATGAGCTCTGTGGCCAGGAGGAGTCCTTCAGGACATGGGCCAAGAAGGTCTTCAAGGTAACTCGCTTTCCTTGTGCTCCGGAGAGGAGCAGGGGGGAGAAAGACACCAGGACAGAGCAAAGCTGCTGGTTAAAGCTGGATCGAAACCCAGCCTATCCTTCCCTATACTGGGAAACCAACACCCTGGCCCACAATAAAGAGGTTCTCCATATTTTGGCGGAGCTGGTGCTCTGGTTTGTGCTGCCTGCCAAAGGGTGAGCACTGTGTTGAATTCCTGTGTATCCCAGACCCTGGAGAAGAAGGGCGCCATGAGACATACCCATGGCCACCAGTATAGCCCTACCCCATTGTGGGCTCCTTCTCCTTGTGTTGGCTGAGATGGGTTGGGACAAGGGGGGAGGGGGCAGGAGTTTGTGGGGCTCGGTTGGAAAGCCTAGGGGCAGTGGGGAGATGCCTGAGAGCCTGGTGCGTGCTGCAGGCAGCGTGCGACGTCTTCTGCGTGGGGGATGACGTCAACATCGAGAAAGCAAACAACTCCCTCATCAGCAACGACCGGAGCTGGAAGAGGAGCAAGTTTCGCCTGACCTACGTGGCCGAGGCCCCAGAGCTCACACAAGGTATGAAGATGGAGTCACCCTGGAGGGCTCGGGGTGTGGGGCAGGTGGAGGAGAAGACACAGTGGGCTCAACTGGGGGCAAAGGGGACAAATCTCCTTAGTTATTCTGTGTGAAATTCCCAGCATTTCAGTCTTGCCTTTCCCCTCCGTCACGTGCCCAAGGAGCGGTCTGTGACGGTCTCAGGCCCCTCTGGCTGGTCTCTGGCTGTATCTGGAACGGGGATGTTGGGATATGATCTGATCTCCCTCCTTCTGACCCCATTTTTTGAAGCAAAGAGCTGGAAACCTGGGAGCTTTCCAAGCTCGCTTTGTCCAAATGTCGCTCTGCCGGGCGTTGCGGTGCAATGGCAGGTCCAGCCCACCGACACCTGGCCCCTCAGCACGGCTCCTGCAGCTGAGGATCTGGCGCACTGGCTTAGCTCTTCCCAAATGCAGGCGCTTTGCTACCAGCCAGGTGGTACCGGCAGCAAGAGGTGCATGCCTGCACGTGAGGGCACGTCCCCACGCTTCGTGCGGGTGGTTTCGGAGTCCTCCTCAGTCGCTAACAGAAGGGACACATGTTTGGTTCCCCCCTGGGGTTTCTGATCCCCCAGGCTTGCTGAAGCTTTGCAGGAGATGGAGGCAGGAGGGTGGTCAAGCCCACAGTCCGCTCGCTGCTGTTGGTGTCAGCCAGCTCTGGTCCAGAGGGCTGAGCCCGCAGTGCCAGCCGACAGCCCTCGACAGCCCTGCAAAAGCCAGGAGTCACCTGCCTTGGCCGTGCTCTGCTGCATTGCTTCACTGGCTCTTCTCCTCCACAGGACTGTACAGCATCCACAAAAAACGTGTCTACGCAGCCCGGCTTATCACACGCCAGAACCTGCAGAGCCCAAAGTCCAGGTAGGAGATGCGGCTGTCCTGGGAGCTGAACACAGTCATGGTGCACCCAAGCATCCGTGCACGCCGTGCTGCAAATGTCCCTTGACCTCTGAACGTCCAATGGATACCATCTTTGTGCAAATTATGACCAAGGCTGGAAGCCACATGAGCCCAGCGAAGGGTGTTCCCTGCCTTCTTACACAGCAAAATCTCTGCTGCTACACAAATTAGCCTGCTGCCCGTGAGGATGAGAAGATGGGTGGCTGCACTTGTGGAGTGGCGGGGTGCATGCAAAGACAGGAGAAAACTGCTGAAGCACGAGGTTAAACTGTTTTTTCCCTTTTAAAAAGTCCCTGAGGGTGAGTCAGCGGCAGGGGCCGGCGAACACTGCAGTGTCCTTTCTAGCTCCCTGCTGTGACTTTGGTGACATTCTCAGTGCGGCACCAGGGCTTGGACATGCCACCACTGCCTGGTGCACCCAGCAGCTCCTGAGGCCAGAGCTCAGCAGCTCCCTGAAGGACTTCTCTGCTTTTTCTCCTTTCCTTCCAGCCGCTTGACGATTTTCCTGCGCCTCCACACCAACGGACACCAGGAGCTGCAGTACCTGCCCGGGGACCACTTGGGTGTGTTTCCAGGGAACCACGAAGACTTGGTCAATGCCCTGATCGACAGGCTTGAAGATGCCCCTCCAGCCAACCAGCTGGTGAAAGTGGAGCTCCTGGAGGAGAGGAACACAGCCCTAGGTAACCAGGGCCACCTCTACATAGGGGTGGCCTCTCTACTCCTCACCCTTCCCTTGTAGCAGTTCTCGTAGCTCCTGGGGGAGGTAAGTGGCCTTCAGGAGAAATAATTTCCCATCTCACTGATGCATTTTCCTGAATTGGGAGCACCTCCTGCAACCTTCCTCTGCCCTGAGCCATTGCTCATCTGCACTTGGGGTGTAGAGCAAGGGTTTGAAGCGTGAGCAGGGCCTTGGGGAGAAGATGTTTCCTTGTTCTTCAGAGAAATTAAAGGTGATTATATTCTAATGGAAAGAGCAATGTCTAGGACTGGAAAGAAGAGTTACGGGATGTTGATGGACCATCCCAACACTGTTTCAGGGATAAGTCTGATAGCCTACTGCCATAAACAGCATAACAGGAGTTGGAAAACAGTCACTCGGAGTGACAGAGGCTGAAGGTGGTGGAGTATTTGTGCTCATTGTATGGCGTCTCACTTGTAGCATGAGGGTATCTCATTGACTCTTCTTTCCAGCTCTTCATCATTCACTGTCTCAGAGCTGATAAGGGGGAGTGAAAGCAAGGGTTTGTCCACCTTGGCTCTTATGCTCAACTGATCCCATGGTTGTGCTGAATTCCCTCCTGGCAGGTGTCATCAGTAACTGGACAGATGAGAACCGTGTCCCACCATGCACAATCTTCCAGGCTTTTAAATACTATTTGGACATCACCACCCCTCCCACACCCCTGCTGCTGCAGCAGTTTGCTTTGTTGGCCACCAGTGACAAGGAGAAGAAACGTTTGCAGGTCCTTAGCAAGGTAAAGCCTCAGATCCCAGGCCCCAAGCTCCTCAAGGCCCTGGGGACAACCACAACCCCAGGGCATTTTCATCCCCCACTGTGGTTAGGCTGAGTCTGTACCTGTGGCAGCAGGGCTCCTCCTGCATGCCTTCACTGCCACCCACCCCAGCTTTGCCATAGGCCCTGTGGGATATTGGTAGAGGCACCTGGCTTGGAAAAGGTCGACGCTTCATCTCTCTCCTCCCTCCGCCCCTCTCTCTTTCACTGGCTTCAGGGCTTGCAAGAATATGAGGAATGGAAGTGGTCCAAGAACCCCACCATCGTGGAGGTGCTGGAGGAGTTCCCCTCTGTGCAGATGCCCTCCACGCTGCTGCTCACACAGCTCCCCCTCCTCCAACCACGCTACTACTCCATCAGTTCCTCCCCAGAGATGTATCCAGGAGAGGTCCATCTCACCGTGGCAGTGGTCTCCTATCGCACAAGAGGTACCATGCTCATGCGGGGATCAGTGGAGACAGGTTTGGTGCGGAGAGCAGGGGAAAAGCATTAGCACACAGACAATACCATGAGGTCTTTGGCAGAGATAGCTTATTTTAAAGCCTTTCTACCTGCTGCAGTGACTAGATTCCTTTAACCGGTAACAGTGCTGTTCCATGTTATGGAGAATGACCATCCATCAAAGGGCAGTGTATTGCAGAGATGCCAGATTTGGGTCAGGTACCAGCAACAAACCAGCCACGGTGGCTCCAAGCTCCACACGGGGTCATTTGCCCACACCAAAGTCCACATTGCCACAACTAGCCAGATTTCTGTACCTGTGCAAGCACTGATGTGTCCAAGCAGCCCTGGTCATGGTGTAGATAGACACAGCCCCATCACCCTTGCAGCAGGCAGGACACCGGGGAAGCCACTGCCCATTCATCTGGGGCTGCCATGGAAGAACTTGGGTGCTTCCCAAGTATTGTGGAGCTCCAGCTATCCCAGGGCTGGGTCCTGGGTGAACTTGGGATCCGCAGGGGGATCCAAGTGCCAAACTTCTACCAAGTTCACGGAGAACGGCTGCAGGGATACTAAATGTTTCAGTGAGGTGTTCATGTGGGATGTAGCAGAAAGGGTTTCAGAAAGGAAAGCAACTGGAGTAGCTGGCTGGTGCGCCAGATGCAGAGCTCCTCTTCTCCCCTCCTAGACGGAGAAGGACCTATCCACCATGGAGTCTGCTCCTCTTGGCTCAATCGGATACAGACTGATGAAGTAGTGCCCTGTTTTGTAAGAGGGTAAGTGGTGAAATACAAGGCAAGGGGTGAAAAAGATGGAGTGAGGCCCTTGCAGGATGAGCTCTTTGCCCTTCATTCTTTTTTGCAAAGCACTAAGGGTGCGGAGAAAATAGGGCTGGATTTGTGAGCAAATGAGTCCCTCTCGGGTGCAGTTCTTCTGCACTAAAATGTTGCTTTCTGGGATTTCACCTCGCTTTCTCCCCCTGCCTCTCTGGGTGGTGTAGAAGCTTGCCATGGGCAGAGGCAAGGGAGGGAGCCTCCTGCTTGGGTTTAACTGGTGTCTTCAACGTGTGCAGTGCGCCCGGGTTCCACCTGCCCCAGGATCCCCAGGTGCCCTGCATCCTCATCGGCCCCGGCACCGGCATCGCCCCTTTCCGGAGCTTCTGGCAGCAGCGGCTTTTTGAAATCCAGCACAAAGGTGGGTCAACGCTTGTTCCTCCTGTTTCTCATCTCAAGCAGTGCTCGGGAACCCTGGGCTGCTGGCGTGGGGATGGGGGTCCCTTCTCCTGCCCAGGCTGCCCCAGCAGAGGCAAAGGGCTTCTTGAAGCAGCAGCTGTCCCAAGTGCAGGCTTGGAGGTCAGCCCAAACTCCCAAAACAAACTCCATGAAAATCCTCCTGTAAAACTTTACAATTTTTTTTGGCAATACTATAGTGCTGGTGTTGATTTTTAAAGGCCATTTAATGTAAATTCATGTAAAATACACATTTTTCCCTGATCATTTAGACCATTTAGGAAGAAAAAAAGTTTAATTTCTCCCCCAAAATCTGGCACAAGCGCCCCTGCCACGTGACCACAGGCCATGTGCTGGCTCAGGCAGCGCATTGCCTCCTCCTTGCTGGTTTTTCCTCCCTCCCAGTTTGGCCAGGGAAGGCTCCAGGCAGGCTTGTGCACAGTGCTGGGGCTGCTGGCAGATCTGGAGGGAGGTGGCTTGCAGAAAGGTGGTATTGGTGGTCCCTGGGCTAACTGCCTCCCCTGTCTCTCCCCCCAGGTATGAAGCCTTGTCCCATGGTCCTGGTATTTGGCTGCCGGCAGTCCAGGATCGACCACATTTACAAAGAGGAGACGCTCTTTGCCAAAACCCAAGGTGTCTTCAGAGAGCTGTACACAGCCTACTCCCGGGAACCGGACAAACCAAAGGTGCGTGGCGGGCACTGCTACGGTCCTGCTGGGCAGCCCAGGGTGGCCGTGGCCCGTTGGCACAGCGTGGAGGTGCTGGTTCCTTGGTACAGCTACGGCAGTTCGTGCCTTGGGGCGCTCTGGTTGTAGAAGAGTGCAGGATCGTGCCTTTCCCGGTGCAGCCCCGTTCCCAGGGGGCATCTCCATCCCTGCGCCAGCCCGAATGTGTGCCCACGTTGCTCACGCTTTGCCCTGGGGGGCCGCAGCCGTCCTCACCAGGTGGGAGCAGAGGAGGAGGGGAAAGGCACACCTTTCACGGCAGGTGGGCAAGGAGGGGTGTCACCAGTGGGGTGGCCCGGAGCCAGCACAAACATCTGGTCCAAATTCCCACCGTCACCTCAGCAGGCCTGACAAGGAGCTACGCAGTGAAGGCGTGAAAAAGCAAGAGCAAAACGATGCTTTGCCGCTTTCCCCGTCCCTTTTCTATCGCTGTGGGTGCTGCAAGGTGCAGGCAGGCTCCCCCAAGCCGGTGGTCGCATTGCACTGCTGCCTCGAGGGCAGCCGGTGCACGCAAAGCTGGCCAAAGTGGGCAGGTGGACGGGGCTGAGAATCTACAGTTGATCTCAGCTCCCACCTCCTCCTCCTTCAGAAATACGTGCAGGACGTGTTACAGGAGCAGCTGGCCCAAACCGTGTTCAAAGCACTGAAGGAGCAGGGAGGCCACATCTACGTCTGCGGGGATGTCACCATGGCCGGGGACGTCCTCAAGACTATTCAGCGCATCGTGAGGCAGCAGGGCCAGCTGTCGGTGGAGGAGGCAGGCGCTTTCATCAGCAAGCTGCGGGTGAGTGGCCTCTGCACCACGAGACACCGC